AGTACCCACAGAGAGAGGGGCTGTGCTCACAGTACCCACAGAGGGAGGCTGCACTTACTCATACTGACTGGTGTAGATGAACTTCATCAGGATGAGCTCCTGCATGTGCTCATGGAAAATATCCTCCAGGGTCCGTCCCCATTCTTCCCTCAGCCACGTTCGGAATTCCTTCCAAGAGAACACAGGTCATGAAAACCACCATAACACAGGGGTATGAAGAGGCTGCTCTTTGTGATGCTGAGTGGACAAAGCAGCATTATTATAACTGTAGACGACACCTTGGGCACACCTATGCCAAAGGAACCCACCTTGGTGGGTGGATGGAAACAGAGCTAGGCAGAAGAATGGGGAGCTGCCATGCATTTCATCTCCCAGTATCTGGCCTCCCTTTCTGTTGAGGAGTGCCACCAACAAAAAGTGAGAGGCTCTGGTCCCTGCTTTCCCAGAGGATATGGGCCCAGGCTTCAGGGGGTGCAGCAGGGACATGGGATCCCTGCAGAGGAGGCTGGGGCCATAGCCCATGTCCAGAGCTCCCGGGGGGCAGCCACATGAGCCTCACTTCCATGCCCATCCATGAAACAGATGTCTACACTGAGCTGGCTCGATGCTGCACAGCCTCTGAGCCTGGTTCTCAGGCTTTTGGGGGAGTGGGAACACAGCAGGACTGTCACTATATCTTGTGCTGGTCAAGCTGGCCAGAGATGCTTTCTGTGGCTGTCAATGAGGAACGCCATAGCTATAGCCAGGGTAGAGAGATTGTGGGTGGATTCTCCCTTCCCAAATGTGCCTCACACTTACGTTATATGCTCAGTAATGTGTGAAAAGGGAGATTTTATAAATACTGTGCCCCCAAAGCTCAATAATTCATTATGGAATCAAACACTGTGACGGATATTTAGTGCTTAACAGCTTGATTCTACACATTTCACTTAATTAATCCACAGCTCTGAGTCCCTAGCTTAATATATGTAGTGTTTCTAATGATTATCTAGAATTAGCTCTACAAATAAAAGCAAAAGCAATTTACCAAAAAGAAAGAGCTACAGTCTGTCAATTGCTTTAATATGTTGCTACCCAAACTCCTGTCAACAACAGAAATCACTATGGTGACTGGGCTAAACAACTATTAGAACTACAAAGTCAATATATATAATCAACTGAATTTTTAGATACTGGCAGCACAAAATTGGAAAATGAACATTTTAAATCCTATTTGCAACAGCCTCAAAAAAAAAACCCACAGGAGTTGGGAATAAATATTACAAAGTATGTGTTAAGACCTCCACTCTGGAAACCCCAAGACTCTGCTAAAAGGAAGTCAATAGGCCTAAGAATAGTCAGGGGTGTCTATGGACTGGAAGACTAGTATTAAGTCAATAATACTCCGAATTGATCTACAGGTTCAATGCCAATCGTAATCCCACCAGGCTAGGTTTTCTGTTAGAAATCAACAAGCTGATTCTGAAATGCATATGGAACTGAAAAGCATCTAGAATACTCAAAGCAATCTTGCAAAAAGAACAAAGCTGGAGGACACCAACTAGCTCACATTGTGACTTACTATAAAGCTGCAGAAATTAAGACAGTGGTATGAGCATAAGGACGAACAGATATATCAATGCAACGAAACAGACCCACATTTATCTGGTCAGCTTATTTTCAACAAAGGCATCCAAGTCACCCAATAGGGAAAGGAAAGTCTTTTCCATAAATGGTGCTTGAACAACTGGACGTCCACATGAAGAAAAAGAAACACAATCCCTATCTCACACCATACATACACAAGAAGTAATTCAAGACGGGTCGCAGACCTAAGCATCACGTGAAGCCACAGCACTTCAAAGAGAAAGGGACTCTTTGCAACTTGGGGGTAGGTAACATTTTGCAGGGCACAGAAAACGATAACCATAAAAGAAAACAATGGACAAATCAGAGTTCGCCGAAGTCAAAGCCTTCCATTTTAAATGGCCGAACCCATGAAGGAAAGGCCCTAAAAACATCAAATAGATAAATATCATAAAAATGGAAGTAAATGTAATGAACAAGGGTTTCAATGTTGCCATGGTGAATAATCAGACTTGAGCTAAATACCATGAAGAAGACGGCTTGTGAACAGTCATAATCTTATTTACTTTGCATGAAAAGGTCAAAGTCATTAGGAAATACCAACCAGACCCAATTACTCAGAACAAAGAACCTTGAGATACATATGTTCCTTATGAAATAAGCTTATGAGGTATGTGCGCACAAGGAAAAACACAGGGGCCTAGAACATAAAAGACAAGAATGAGTTTAATATTTATCCATGGCTGGCTCACCATGTGCTGGCACAATACCACCATCAGCACAAAGGTGCCTAGGAGATGGGTGCTGACATTTGCCCTGCTCTATAGAGGTTTGGGGCTTGTAAAAGTGGAGGGACCTTTTCCAAGTCACCCACCTAGTAAGTGCCAGAATCAGAGCTCACATCAGGGCCAGCAGAAATGTAGGAGGCAGGACTCACCTGCCCTGGTGGGCTATACATGAGGCCCAGCAAACTGACAACACTTAACAAGAATTTGGAACATCTTCAGGGCCTTTTACCCGGCAAGTCCATTTCTGCATGATCCAAAATCCAGATAAGGTTTTTGTACGGAGCTCAGAAAGTAGAGTTACAGTAATAATACTTGGCATCCTCCTGAGTAGCTCCCGTCAGGCCTGGTGCTAAGTCATTCACAGGCGGGGTCCTGCTCAATCCTCCAAAGTCACTCCGGGTCTGCAGGTTATTGTATGGCCCTGTTTCACAGATAAGGACTGAGGCTCCCAGAGGGTAAGTTACTCAAGCACGTGGTCAGGAGAGTAGTAGGGGAAACCTGAACATCTGAGCATAAACCCCATGTCCAACTGCAGGAGAACGATTACATCTGATTACATTGCAGCAAGACGACAGAGTGCTATTCTGTGCTAAAAATAAAGCTTGTAAAGGGTTCTAATAAGATTGGAAAGCATCTCTGGAATAACAGTTAAGCTACAAAAAATCCAGCTTAGATTGAGTTGGATTGCAATTACATCAGAAATGCCTGAAAAACATAAAGGGAGGCTGGAGACTGGGCTTGGAGACGGCTCCTAGGTGGGGCCATCTCAGCACTCTTTCCTCTGGATGCTGATGATTTTGTATTTGATGATGATAAGGTATCATTTTAGTAACTGAGTGATTGCTTCCCCATTTCTGCTCCTCCTTGCATCCCCCAGATTTCCACGAGCCTAGGTTGGGGGGCCGGGGCAGGGACAAGGAAGGAAGGTGGTGGCTGGGCTAGAGCTGTCATTTGTGAAGACAAGCCAGGCAGCGTCTGCACTGGGGTGAGTCTGGGGCAGCCTGAGGGCTGCACTGTTCATAGGGACCCAGAAGGTGCTGCTGCAGTTTTCAGAACACATGGCAGGGTGACATGGGAGGTGCCCGTGAGGCTCAGACTGAGGACCCTGCAGCCCTGAGGTACCGGATCACACAACAGGACAGCCTAGACTTGGCCTTCAAAGGTGTGCAAAGTTGGCAGAAATCCTGGGACTAGAGTTTGCATGCAAGGAAGTGGGAGGGTTGGCAAGTCTTATGGATATAGTTTTAATAAATGGCTGCAGGGCTGACTTCTGGTGTTGATGAAGGGTGGAGCCCACATGAGGGGTGAGGGAGGACAATTCACTGGTTCCTTCGTGAGCAGGACGCTGAAAGGGATCATGAGCTAGCCCAAGCCATCGGAGACTCAGAAACAGGCTGAGATATGCAACAAATACACAGAAGCTGTAATGAGTGTTCTATATTTTAAAAGTTCAAGTTTTTTCTTAAGACTGTTTTGAAATGGCAATATGACTTAGATCCTCAAAAAACTCAAACTCAAAGACAAGGTAAAATTACTCGTGCAAACAAAAGGAAGTATATAAAGAAAATCCTGGGTGTGGCTGATCCATTGTGCTGCCTGGTCTGGAAATTTCAACCACTAGGTCTGCTTGAGGGGTGAGTAGCAAGTCCTCGGGTCTCCCTGCAACTCACCTCCAAGAAACCTGTGCAGCCCACAGGCAATCTCCCCAAAGGGGCGAAGGAGAACTAACCAGAGAAAACTATTTCCTTTTGGTCATTCATTCTGAGGGTGGCAGGAAACAAACACCCATGCTCATGGACACACATCCACACGAGGCCATTTCTGATAAAATGGTCAGACGCATTTTCTGCGCCAAAAACATGAGGATGAACCACGGGAGAGGGTCCTCTTGTTGGTGGCACGCTAGCAGTGCCAAACCATTCCACCTCACATGTGCTCTGTGTATACGGAGGGGGCACAGGCTCACCTCTTGCCGCCCACCAGACATCCTGTGGTGGTCCGTCTGGTTGCACTTGGTGGAGAATTCATCCTTCTTCACAATCTTGAGTGTTCATGACAAAGGAGAGACAGGAAAGAGTCAGTCATGACACCCCCACCAGATAAAAAGCCCCTACTCACCGATGTCTCCCGCTCATCAACAGAAGCCTGAGGTACCACCAAATCGTGGCTGGTCCACAGAAGGGAGCTCAGAACCACTCTGAGAACATACTCCCTTCTCAGAGGAGGGGTGCAGCTGAGAGGGGCCTTTGCACTTTACCAGGGGAATTCTTAGAGCAGCTAAAAGGGGATTGTCGTTTCACAGTGTTAGATAACACACTTGCCAGAATAGTATCACAGTGTCTTATTCCAAGCTGATCTTCTGGCAAAGCGGTTTTGAAAAAGGAACAGTGGGGAATTGTGATTGGTTTTAACTGGACAAAGAACCAGTGGAGAGTTCCAGCAAGTGATCCTTTGGGGAGTTACATCACAGCACCATAGCATAAATAATACACAGAAGAGGTGGGGGTAGAGTCCCTGTTTCCTCCTGTCTCCCCTGATCTGTACAGACACAGGCTTGGAGCGAGGAATACCACTACAAACTCGGCTGGCACCAGGACTGGGAAAAGCGGAGGACGCCGTGCCCCTAGCCTGCACACAGCTGCCATGTCTCAGGGAGCCCCGAGCATACAATCACCTGGATATGGCCGTTGTGGGGCCCTCTGTGGCCATACATGCACTCCACTGTGGCAGACTTCCTCTCCATCAGGTGGATTCTAAACAAGGGCTTGAATCGCATGGGGTCATCCACGTGAGGATCGTGGGGAGGTAGGTACATCCAGCCAATAATGAACAAGCCATCCACCTGCAGCAAGGATGAAAGGGCGCATGTCCACATGAGGGTTGGTCCACAATGAGCACCCACATCTCCACATTCCCTCCACGCAGACCCTCAAAGCTAGTGGACACTGTGATGTCCCTGGTCTGCTCCCTGGGGACAAGCACAACCCTGCCAGCCAAGCGCTTGTTAACTAGAAAGTAAAATATGGTGACTATAGTTGATAACACTGTATTATATCACTGAGATTTGCTATTAGAACTTAAACATTCTCATAAAAAAAAGGCTAAAAATGTGAGATGACGGATGTGTTAATTAACTAGATGTGGGAATCTTTTCACAATGTATGCTATATCAAGTCACCATGGTGTGCACTTTATATAGCTTACAATTTTATTTGTCAATTATACCTAATAAACCTGAAAAAAATTTTTTTCAATAGGAAAAACGTAGTTAGACCTGAATCCAAGGAAGCTTTTGAGAGAAGTTCCGGCTTTCAAATGGTCGGGTGGGAGGGCATAGAACGAGCTAAATGACATGGGAAAGAAGAAAGTGGAATAATCCAGAAAGTGGGATACCCAATAGGGCAACTGACCTGAGAAAAAGTGGGGGTGCTGCTTTCAACAGGAGAGGCACACAAGGCAAAACAAATGCATGCAACGTGAGGGCCCAATTTAGGTCATGATTTGAACGAACCAGCTATCAAAAAGCAGTTTTGAGACAATCAGGGGACCTTACATAGGGACCGGGTCTCAGGTCATATCAAGGAATTACAACCACTTTTGTAAGGTGTGATATTCACATGGTGGATATGTAGGAAAACACCCACATTTTTGGAGATCCACACTGAAGTACAAAAAGATGAAATGACACAGGCCTGGGATTTGCTTTAAAATGCCTGAAAAGAAAATGCCAAAGGAGCAAAGGGTGGAGGGGGGGAGGTTGGGGACACAGGTGCCCCAAACTTGGCGCATTATCAGTAAATGTTGAATCCAGGCTGTGGTGTCCATAGTTCATGCTACCATTCCTGCTAATCTTGTGTGTATGTGAGCCGGGAAGTGATAGAAAGTGATGGAGCTTAAATCAAAGGACAGCGCAGTCCCCACACACACGCACTCAGCACAAGGGCACGCACGTCCTCAGTGGAGGGACAGGGACAGCTTCTGAAGCCCCATTGGGATGACCCAGCAGTTGTTCCTGCCTTCCCAGGACAGCCTAGATCCACAGCTTCTAGCTCAGTGACAGAGGAGAGGATTTAATCATTTCTGCGGTTAATTGGTCTGAGATAAGTGCCAGTTGCCGTTGTTCAGTCATGGGCTCCATTTTCCCTTAATTATCTCCCGCTTTCAGAAGCTGTATTTTTTTTTAACTCTATTACTCACTGCCAGTAAGAAAAACAATTATCACCCTCCCTGACTAAAAGGAAAGAAATCTGCCCACGCTGGAACTGTCTGGCTTGTCCCTGAGAGAATGTTCTAAAAGCAAGGCTTTTCCCCAGTGATATTAAACATATGTAAAGCATGTTTCTTAATGAATGTTTCCACCAAATATGAAGACTATAAAGCAGTACTTATCCCTGCACAAAACCCCACCTGGTGAGCAAAATACACAGAGTGACAGAGTCAGCAGGTAGCCCATCTGGACCAGGCTCGGAAAAGCCACACCGAGGCTGGCTGTCCAAGGGCCCCAGCAGCCACAGCCAAGCAGACCCAACACCGTTACATGATGTGCAGCTGGTCCCCTGGACTCGGGCTTCTGGCGTGTGCCAGCGAGAAAGAGAGCAGGACCAGAACAGCAGTGCTCCCCGAGGGGCACCTGACTTTGTTTTCACTGCAGCATCGGCTACAGCAACACTGGGGTCCAGGCACCTGCACAAAGCTCAGTGTAACTGAGTATAATTGCATATACCCGGCCCCGGGGCTTCTGCTCAAGAGGTGCTGTTCAGAGCACATGCACGCCTCGGAAGGGAGGCAGCGGCTCTGCAGAGAACCAGCTAGGGCAGAAAAAGGTAACCCGATAAGAAGTTCCTTGTGATTAATGTCACATAGAAAACAGCTGACTTGCCCTTCTAGTAGAAAAGGCGCTAAGCTTCACCCATGTGGGGCAGCAGTCCTGACATCACAAGAACCCACGTGCGATGCTCTCGGACTTACCACTACATTCAGCAGTCCTCCGTACGGTCCGATATCTGGCTGCCACAATCCCAAAATGTGTCTGTATCGGTGGAGCACTACAGGGAGAGAGAAAGAATGGGTCTTCCTTTGAGAGGGAGCCAGTCTCCACTTTACAGTAAATCAGAGGAAAGGGTATGAGGAGAAAGGGTTATGAAGAAATGATGAAAGCTTTTAACGGAGCCTTGGAAACAAACGTGAATGTAAGCAAAATTTACCTACGAGTTTCTAAAGACATCTAAGATGAAAAGGTCTTTGAAAAGCATCATAAAACAGACAGCTGGGTCATTTTGAAACCCAGCTTCTGCATGAGCAGCTCCAATGACAAGGGACTGCTACCTTGCAAGACACAGACTGGGTGTCCCTGTAAAGTGATGAGCCTCCCATCCGTTTACACAGCTGAGGAGGCGCGGGATTCTTTAACAGGTGGGGGCAGAGACCAAAACATCATGGGACTGTAGATTAAGAACTTGGGTCATCTTTCTTTTTTTAAAAAAACAAACCCACATTTCCCCACCTTATTTCAAAAGTAATGCATATATATTCATTGAAGACAACAGGAGTGCCAACTTGAAATACCACTACACAGAGATGACCGGCTGCAGTAAACGTTTTGGAAAATATCCTTCACTTTGCTCTCCTTTGCACGTGTGTTTGTCGAGTGAATGAATGAATGAATGAATGGACAAATGGGCAACCGACTCCTGTAGGGCCCTGCCTGCCAGGTGCAGGGTCTGGGATCTCTCTGCAGGCAGTGCGTGGTGGTTAATTTTATGTGCCAACTGGACTGGACCGTGGGGTCCTAGACATTTGGTCACGCATTATTGTGGGTGTGTCTGTGAGGGTGTTTCTGGGATGAGACGAACATTTAAACCCGTGGACTGAGTGAAGCAGATCGCCCTGCCCACTGTGATGGGCCTCATCCAATCAGATAAAGGCCCAAAGAGAAGGCCGACCTTCCCACCAGTAAGAGGGAACTCCCCCTGCCTGGCTGCCAGAGGTGAGTCATGTTTTTTTCAGACTTTGAACTCTAACCAAAACATGGGCTCATCCTGAATGAAACAAAAGGCTAAGCCTCCCACGAATGACAGGAAGTTTCCTCCTGCCTGCCTTGAGCTGGGTCATTGGTTAAAAGTGGCCTGCCCAGCTCCTCCCCATGTGGTGAGCAATGTTCACCAAATCCCATCTATCTAATCTATCTACTAGAGGAATCTGGAGCACTGCCAGAATTCTAGGTTAGAACCTCAAAACCCAGAGCCCTACGGCTACACAAAGAGCCTACACAAAGTTCTAAACGTGCTCTGACCGTCGCCAGCAATTCGCACACCAGGACACGTGTCAGATACGTCGATGAGGACAATACATCCCCCATGAAGCTCACAATGTCTTATAGACACAAGTTATCACGAATATCAGACAACAACATATGGCCTGATATTGAGAAAAAGAAACAAAAGTGACAGCCAAAGCAGCTCATCTGAGGCCACAAAGCTCGTACGTCAGGATCTGCAGTCTTAGATGATGCTGACTCGCTTCTCTCTGGGACAGCATCTTCTACTCAAAACTGTTGATCCTCTTGAGTACAACAGAACACGGCCCAGAGGGCGTCAAGAGACCAGGGGAACACAAGTTCTCAAGAGTTCCAGGAATAGTGCGAGTGGATGAGGGAGACAGAAACGGTGCCAGGTCCCGAGGACCTCACAAGCCAATCATCACGGCAGACTTTTTTGGAAGGTCTGACAGCTAATGTTAGAGAACAAATTCTGAGCTGCCCTCCTTTAGAATACACTAGGAGCCCTGGAATACTGAACACCTGGGCACATAGAGGTTTCCGATTAGGGTTGAAACAGCTTTTCCTTTTTCACGCATGTGAACTTTTCTCTTGATACTCATGGAGGTTAACAGATCACTCACAGTGTAAAGATGTCCACAGAAAAATGCAGCCAATGCTTACAAGTGGTTATTTTCATTTTATTTTCTGGATCTTCCAAGTTTTCTACAATGACTACTGTATTTTTATAACTACACTCAAACCGTAGAGGGAATGGCAGTCTCCAATTGGAACACATCTGTTCTAAGCTGTCAGCTACCAGCAGATGGGAGATATCACGACATGTGGCTAAAAAGTCCACATGCTCTGGAAGTTGTCTCCTAGATGCGTGGTGAAAAGTCTGGACTCAGGACTCATCCTTCTAAGCTAGGAAGCTTCTGACCACCCCTTGGGGATAAAAAGAACACACCCCCAACACAACTCCATGCACTTCCTAGGTCCCGGCCACCGAGCCTCCCAGAGGTGGGTTAGAATTTCTTGATCTCAGGTATAAATTCAGACAGACTGTTATTCTAGAAGAATCCCGTAACAGATGTATGATGTAATGGGCCTTTAAGTGCTTATCCATTTGTATTTGAAAGCCCAGGCCAGGCTGTTCCCATCAGCACAGCCACGGTGATTGATCGATTGTTCTCATCAATAAGCACTACGTCACCTCCTCTCCCACAGGCCTGGAGAAGGCACCTTTGCACACTGACTGCTAAGCAGAGAGGGCGAGTCATTCTGTGACGAAATGTTCTAGACAGACTACTGCCAAGAGGGTTTGGAAAAGGACAGAATCCACACCTTCAGACCTGCCTGTCCCACCCCTTTCCCGCCCAACCACAGCCTCCCCTCCCCAGGTCCTCCTGACCGCTCACACACACTCCTGACAAGATCCCCTTGCCACCAGTCTTCACTCACACAGTTCAGCTCTGGACCTAATGACACAAATGCTGTGGGTGGTGTTAGCAGTCGTGCACAGTGCTCAGACACCACCCCAAAGCATGCTGCCCAGTCCTAGCATCTCCACACTGACTCCAGGATGGCCCCAAAATGGTACCAGCGAGCATACTGGCTACAAGTCCAGAGCCTGGCAGGGGATAGGAAAAATTCCACAAGTGACTCTATTCCTTCTGTTCCGAGTAGGTTTCGTGAGAAATTGTGCACTTATAAGACTCAGAAAAAAAACAACAAAAAACTCAGAAGTGGGTCTGCTGCACAAAGGTGATGCTGACACAGGGCACGCTCAGCAGGGCTGGAGTAGTAGCAAGCAGCAGGGGTGTCCCTGTGCTTCTACAAACATACAAACGGCTTTCAGCATAAGCAGGTATTACTAATATCTTTCTTGACAACCGAAATTCATGCTCTCCATTTCAGCTCAACCTAATAAAAAGCGGAGCTAGCCTTCATCAGTGTAACAGGGCTTTGGAAAATTTTCAGAGCTAAAGTAATGCCAATCAAAAGAGGAATCAGGTTCTAAATAATCACCTGTTTCTACATACTTTGGTCTAGTGTGGGTATATGTGTATGTCATTTGTTTAAACTTCACACATGCTGTCAAAACGTGATTGACTAACGAAGCCTAGAAATAAACCACTTGCATTTCATTTTGGAACAGAAAGGTTTTAAGGCTTCTACTCTGTTCTCTCTTCTCAGCCTCAATAAACGGTAAATGTTAAAATGTGCATCAACAAAGAGATCTTGCTGGTACTGCTCAAAAACCCCAAAGATGCTACGGAAACCTGGCCCATATATATGGCCAGCTGCCCCAGGCCACCACTCAGGTGTGATCCTGGCCACTGCCGAGCCACAGAGGACACATTGGAAAGGTGAAAAGACAGCTAAAAAAGCCAAGGAGGTCAGCTCGCTCTTAGTACCAAAGCACCCACGCGCTGAGTTAGAGGTTCCCTCTCCAGCAGCTTCTTGCCGTGCTCCCCCGCCAAAGCCAAAGCAGCAGGAGGTACGTACGGCAGGTGTACACATCTCTGTACTCCATGTGCTCGTAATCGGGAAGAATTTTCATGAAACGTCCCGACTTCACGCGAGGGTTTATACCTGAACAGACACAGTAGGGAAAGGGCTAAGGATGGTTCTGCTTTCACGACAGTATAAACAGTTTTCAGGTGACTTGGCACCTTCTTCCTCATCTTACGTTTCCCTTACCTACTCCACTCCCGGTACCTTGGGAGGCAAGCACTCGCCAAAGATGAGAGGCCTGGCTGGAAAGAAAACGTTGGGACCTGTCTTCCTTTTACTCAATGGATTCACACGAGAAACTCATTGACGGCGGGCAAGCTCGGGACACTCTCTGTGCTCACTCTCTTCCGACTGCCAAGATCAACAGAGCTCATGGAGGTGGGGGAGCAGAGGTCGCAGCTCGTGGATATTTGGGGTCACGGTTTAGGGACCCTTTTGCCCCAACAAAGATTCCACCTCGCCCGGTGCACACCTGGTGTCTTCCTTTGTGTGTTGTTTGTTTTTGACTAAGGACGACATCTGCCAGCTCCTAACTCAGACCCTTCGCTGCTGAATCAAGGCTGGCCACTCTCACTCGCCCACCTATACTGGGAGCTAAGGTTGACTTTCTTCTACCACTTATTCTAGAAGCTAAGTAATTTCCCCCTGCATAAGGCCTTCAAAGCAAATTCACAAAAACTGTGAAAGCCGCTTTGGCCAGGGCAAATTAAACACTTTGGGATCCTAAATAACAGATAATATGAAGTATTCTTTGGATTTCCCAACCATTTTCAAGGGGTCAAAAGTAGCAGTTGAAAGAAACCTCCAGATAACCTCCTTCGTCCACGTGCCCACACTCTAGACATGCACGTGTGCATGTGTTCACCTCACCATGGTCCTTGTCCCTCTCCCTTGCCCACCTCTGGACTTATCCCCTGCCACACCACCTCCCGCTCCCCGGCAGTCACCACCCACATGTGGAGGACAGGCTGTTCCATGACGTGACTGCTGTTTGTCCGGCAAGCTGGTGCCAAGCCAGAATTGAGGTTGCTTTTCTGCAAAGCCCCCTTAGAGACCATCTAATCGTAACTGCTGTTCATTCAGACATCAGTGAGCATCCCTCCCTTGCCTCCTGCTATGTGCTGATTCCTGGAGCAGGTTGTCTTCACCTGGTCAAGCATGTAAAGTAATTTCCATACCTGGTAGCATTCACGTAGTTGGACCCATGACTCCTGCCCCCACTTTACCCTGTGTACTTCTTTGGTGCCTGCCAAGCATCACGGAGATCCATTTCGTCTTGTAGCCACCCAACACAGGCCTTGTATATAAAAGTTTCCCTTAATGCATTGTGGACCGGTGATGCAGATTTGCGTCTATATATTTAAATGCCCTGTCCTCATTAATAAAATCCATTAATTACCAGACTGGAGTGGCCAGCCTCTTCCTTTGGTCTTTTCCCTGCCCTCCACTTGGGGAGGTAGATTTTCAGTCTCGGGCTTTCCCCTAGGTCTGCGTGTATAAACATTACCTGCCTGCCCACCTGGGTCCAGGGGTCCCCTCTACAGGACAGCTGCCCCCACAGCCCAGCCAACGCCCTCTGCCCACGGCTGAGACGAGCTCCATGGGGGCCTTTTTCCCAGGTGTGCTTTCCTGTGGGTATTACAGCCCCTAACGCCTAGCAGGCACGAGCACCTGCCTCCCCCAGGACATTATTTTGAGTGCTTACAACTCTTAAAGAGAAAGCTGCCTTCATGTTGCTTTAAGATAATATCATCAAATGGCCTAACAAATGAAAAAAGCAATTAGATACTGATAGAAGCCAGGGGGCCATCCACAAAAACCAGGAAATCTTTCTCATGCGTACATACACAGGGATTGCTGTAGCGAGAGTTTCCTTCTGACTCTGACACCAATGCCAACAGCAAGAGTGACTCCCTCCGACCCCATGCCCCGGACAGATTTAAGACACTGAGCTCTGGGCAACCAACAGAGCAGCCAAGGGTGGCGCCAGGGCAGCGTGGGCTCCCCGAGGATGGGATACTAGATAACAGATAACAGGGTGGGAGAGGAGCAGCAGGGGGGGGGGAGAACCAGTTTCCTGCCTCTGGAACTCGGGGCTTTGCAGAAATCACAGAGGCTTTGACCTCCGCTGAGACGAGAAGACAGGCAGGAGTTAACACTTTGATGAGACAGGACTGCTGGGGCCTCCCAGACCCACTTCCCCTGAAGAGCCACCCCCAGAAAGGGAAGTGGAGCGGGGGCGAGAGAGGAAACCAATATCTAATGTGCACGGCTTGAGCAGATCAACCTTGCACTGGGGTCCAGGGCCAGAGACGGCAGCACAGAAGGCAGCAGCGGGGCTGAAAAGGGGGCTTGAGGGCAACGGTGAAGCTGGAGGCCCACAGGAGAGGGGGGAGTCGAGGGGGGTGCTAGGAGTTGGCAGAACTGCAGCTGGGACGAGGCAGCGCAGAGGGGTCCCTGCAACAGCCTCTCCAAGGCTCCTGGAGGCAGGTGGGAGGGGGCGACAGCTTGGGGGGCACGGCCGAGCCACCAGGAAGTGGGCATGTGTGTCGAGGGCTCCTGGCTCCACAGAGAACTTAGGGCCTTTTGACAGGAGATCTCCCCAAGCGTGAGCGAATCCTAACCCAGAGACACTAACCCATCCAACAATCCCAATCTCCACGGGATCTTAGCGTGGAGGGGTCTCTGGTGGGACGAGGAAATAACGAGACAGTGAAACAAGCGTGGATGCAGGGACTGAACACCACCGGTGTCTCCCTGCAGGGCCGGCCGCTCTGCAAAAACGCCATGCTCTGCCTGTGCGGGGAGCACGGCCAAGGAAAGGCGGGGCATCTCAGAGGGGGACTCTGGGACGGACAATCCACGGGAAAGAGGGAACACGGAAAGGGACACCAACCAGCCCCCAGACCCAGCAAGGAAGCTTGCGACACTTCAGTGCACGTGCGGCAGCCTGGCCCACAGGAAGCCCTGCTGCCTGCCTGCTTCTCAGCCCTGAAGTACAGTTGTTTCCATGGAGAAGTAGGACCCTCAGTTCCTGGGTCAAGTGCTTAGCAAGGAGCACCTCCTGCCTAAGGTTTCAATGGAGAACTGGATGGGCGACATCGGCGTCATCAGTAGCCTTCACAGCCTCATGCCTACGAAGGGGCACTGAGGAAAGGCCAGCTTGGGGCTGGGGAAACCCTGAGCGGCCGTTGCTGGCGACTGTGGAAAGTAAAGGAGTGAAGAACAAGGAATGGAGGGCTGGGGGAGTGGGCACACCTGCAGGAAACTGAAGGAAAGATGGAGCCACAGGGCTTGAGCCTGGGGTGGAGCCAGAGAAAGCAGCGGGCCCACAGGCAGCCAAGTTAGCAGGGGGAGTCAAGGGGAGCCTCAAGGCCTCGTGTGCCATGTACTATCAGCCAGTCACATAGCCAATCAGGCCGTGGGCCCAGAGTGCAGAGAAAGGGACCCCCCTGGAAGCACCCCAGAGCTGTTCTTGGTGCAGCCATGTTTCTCAAATCTAAAGGTCCTGGATGCCTAATATCCTGTGATGGGCTGAAAAATAAGGGTACTGACATACCCAGAAAGGGAGAGAACGCCCCCTGCCCAATTTTAGTGCTATTATCACCAGTGCTGCCTCTTAGTGTCAATGACAACTCTATGACGGTGTCTGAGAATGGAACTGTGGACTTCGGGTCAAGTTTATTATCCATTGTTGACGCTTACTGTCTGCTTTTGGATCAAAGTTAATGATGGATGATTAAAGTAGATTAACTTACGCTTCGCATAGACGTCCCGACAAGACACGCCCGTGATCTCCAGCTTCCGCAAGTTTTCACAAACGCCATACTCTGCAACAAGAAACATTTGCTGGGGGCCGGCCGAGTAGCTCAGTTGGTTAAGAGCTCGCTCAAGAGTTTGAGCTCTGAGCAACAGCAGTTCGATGCCCAGCCCGAGCTGAGATGCAGCTGAGCTGCCAATAGGTAGCAGGATAGCTCGGCTAAAAAAAATTAAAAATAAATAAATAAAAATTAAAAAAAAACAAATAAAAATAGAAACATTTGCTGGACCTTAGAGCCAAGAAATCACAAAGCAACAGAAACAGACTGATGGAAGGGAGGGACTGAAAAAAGAGAGAGGGAGGGAGGGACGGAGAGAGGGAGGATGCCTAAGCCTTGGCCTTGTCTTGCTAACCTGATCACACAAATCCAAAATCAGACAGTCCTCAGCTTTTGAATACAGTGTGGTAAAAATTCAGTGGTCTGCGTTTGAAGCTGAAGCTGAATAATAATGAATGTCAACTATAATTTTATATATTAGTCACAGGATGTGGAGTACAGCATAGGGAATAGAGTCAGTGGAACTGTAACAGCTATATACGATGTCAGAGGGGTAGTAGATTGGCGGAGGAGGGTTATCACTTCATGAGGGGTGAAATGTCTAACTATTACATTGTTTTGCATACCTGAAGCTAAAACCAAAAAAACCCCAAAAAACAAAAAACTCAGTGGTCTGGAAAGGATGCATGTTCCTGCGGAAATGAGATTGTCATTGGTGTCAGGGTTCCACAAAGACCTCCTTAACCTCCATTGTGGCTCACCATGCTGCTAATTCTATTAAACAAAGACCCAGGTCCTTCCATTAAAGACCCAGATAAGACCCAGGTCCTTCCATTGAAGACCCAGATGAGACACTGGAAGGAGCAGCTGGCCAGTCTGTCCTTTTGCCCAGGGCTACCCTAGATCAGCAGCCAGGGAAGGGGACCCTTGACACCCTCCCAGCCTCCCTGTCCTCCCCCTCGCCTGGCTGACAGCACGCCCTGCTGCTTTCTCCGCCCTGCCCCTGCTCCCACCCCACCATGGCCCCACTTTTCAAAATCATCCCCCTCGCACTTCCCAACCAACACCTCGGGTCCTCCTGTTGAGGTCTCAGTGAGGCTTCTACAGGAAGCGCTGTAACTGAACGAATCCACACTAACACAGCGTTGCTTGTTAGCCAAGAGCTAATAATGACAAGGCCGGGTTCGCACCAACCTTTGTGTGTGCTGGGCACCATGCCAAGCTCCTGTGGGCCCCACAGCACTCCACCCTGCCAGCAGCCCATGAGAGAGGCGCTACTGTCATCTCCGTTTTAATGATGAGAAAGCAGGGGCAGAGAGGTGACTGGCTTGCACAAAGGAACACGGGCTTGTAATGGGGGACCCAAAATCGAAGTCTGCATGGGAATGCCTCCTCATAGCAGTGAGCACAGCCCTGGCACAAGGCATGTGCTCAGCAAGCATTTGATGAGAAAAAGAACAAGGGGGCCCCTAGGACCCCACAGTAATAACCCCCCAAGACTCTCACTCACTGTGCTCATACCAGGTACAACTGGGGCTTCACAGGATGGCCTGTAACAAAATCCTGACAACCACCTCTGAGGCCAGAACTCTGCTCCCATTGCAGGGAGGGAAACTGAGGCTCGGTGAGGTTGGTGACTCAGCAGTCACCTGAAGCATAGATTGATGCTGCCTGGCCAGCAGCTGCAAAGCGCCGTCCACCTCATTGCCTCACTTTTGATGGTGCCTAAACTCTCCTGAGGTCTGGTCTTTTCAACAGAGTGGACGATATTAACCCAAATGCTTTCCAAAACTGTTGGGATTTTGACAAAGTAAAAGCTCAGCATGCACACAGGCTGGAGAAGCTATCTGAGGTGAGGTGGTTACTATTCTACAAACCCCTCTAATAAGGCCTGCCCGGGAGCCCCTGCTGTTCCCTACCGCCACTGTTGATGAACAGGTGTGACGTTAAAGACCTGAAACCATGGCCTTACTCTTTCTCAGGCAAAAGAAAAAAGAAAAAAAGAAAAATACCTGTTTTATCCTTCTGTTAAGAAGAATTTGGACTCTATTCCAGAGAATTATGCAAGTTATAAGAACTTGTGAGGAATTACAGATCACAAATATGCTGTTTGTGAATCTGGGGCAGGGATAAAATACTGTGGGCATGAAATGTGAGTTACCAGCCATCTGAGAGACCAGTGTGGCAAAATCCCTGCAGACCATCCCTGGTCGACAGAAGAAACTGGAACAACTGGTCTACCCCGCTCTCCCTGGGATGAGCTCTGCTCTATGCTAAGCTACCTTCACACTTTCCTGTGGTTCTGTGATGTCTAAGTGGCTCCTTCAAACGCCACCCGTCATTGTCACTACTTTGTCCAGCTCGCCATAAACACGCTTTGTTCTTCTTGTGTACAAATGATGGACTTCAAAATCGTTTCTGCGTAGTACAGCGGTTCTCAACCTGTGGGTCGCGACCCCTCTGGGGGGGGTCGAACGACCCTTTCACAGGAGTCGCCTAAGACCATCGGAAAACAAAAAGATATTTACATTACGATTCATAACAGTAGCAAAATTACAGTTATAGAGTAGCAACGAAAATAATTTTATGGTTGGGGGTCACCACAACATGAGGAACTGTATTAAGGGGTCGCGGCATTAGGAAGGTTGAGAACCGCTGGCGTAGTAAGATGTGTGCTTTGGTTTGTTTTCTGTGTGGTTCTGAAAGGCCAGCTCCTTTTCTCGGTTCCAACATGCTACCAGTGCAAGAAGCAGCCGTGGATGAGCCTCTTTCTGCCTTGGTGATATGGCAGTTTGCTTGTATGGCAGGGGTGGGTGTGGGGTCTTCTCCTTTGAACTGCACACTGTTGTAATATGTGTTAATATCACAGGGCAAGGCCTGAAAACGCATCCATTTGTGCTCTTGTTGTTGATGGTGCCTGAAGTCCAAAGCCAGGCCTTTTGCAAAGCATCAGGATTGTTTGTTGGGCATTCCTCTGTGCTCAGACTGTTGAAGCCTAGTGGCTTGGTTTATGATTTCTGTATCTGAGTCCAATGCATACTCTAAGCTGATAGAAACCACCACTACCTCGCATGAGCCACTTGGACTGCTGAGCGATTCCAGAGTTTTTAGCTAGGGTGACCACATCATAAATCTCTGTATACTTTGTCAACAAATGGTATTGCTAATGTCGTGGAGGAGGTGAACTTGCACACCCAAAGAAAGCACCGACGACAATGCCATTAACAACAAGAAAAGCAAAGTTATAAGGGAGTCAGTGCTAATGAATACAGCCACCCTTAATGGGCTTTTCTTAATGTTCCCAAAAGATCACAATAAATTCACCAACCTAAAATAATATCATTCTGACCCAACTGCTCCTGTAAGAAATGTTCGGTATTTTCCACATGATGGAAAAATCTTTTTTTTTTTTTTCTTTCCCAAGAGCGGCCAAGAACAATTCCACATCCTCTGACTGTTCTATAAACCTTCCCATAAGGTCATCAAGGGAAAATAGCTTTAAGGCCAGTGTACTTGCCAGCACCATGTACCCTTCCTCCCAGAAAAAATAACAAGTGTTCACGCCATCCTTTGGCACGGGTCCTATCTGAGACGATTAGAAGTTAGCACACCAAATCCTGCTGCCTATGGCTGCTCTTTAAGTATGGGATTTGGTGCTACAGGCTGTCGATTCAAAAAGTTTCCTTGCTAATCTAGTACACAGGTAATTTATGAAATTTTTTTGGAAAATGCCTACCACAAAGATGGCAACAAAGTACAGAAAAACCTTGGATTGTGAGTAACTTGGTTTGTGAGTGTTCCACAAGATGCGCAAACATTTCTGATACATTTTAACATGGTACACGAGCGCCGTCTTGCAATACGAGTAATTTGTTTCCGGAACAAATTATGCTTGCAAACCAAGGTATTACTGTATTACAAAGTTGGAAAGGCTGAGAAAAAAATGGGTGAGCTGGACTTGAGGAAATTAATAAAATTAAATGGTCACACTCTGGAAAACCGTCTGGCAGTTCCTCAAATAATTAAACATTGAATTACCATATGGTCCAGCTATTATTCTACTTCTGGGTATCTACCCAAAAGAATTGAAGCCAGGGACTTGAAGAGATATTGTACATTGTACACCCATGTTCATAGCGGCCTTATTCACAATAGCCACAAGGTGGAAGCAACCCAATTGTCCATTGATGGACAGATGTATAAGCAAAATGTGATCTAACCATACAATGGAATAATATGCAGTCTTTAAAAGGAAGGAAATCCTGACACATGCTACAACATGTATGAACCGTGAGAATATTATGCTGAGTGAGCTAAGACAGTCACAAAAGGACAAATACTGTATGATTCCATTTACATAAGGTCCCTAGAGGAGTCTAGTTCATTGAGACAGAAAAGAGAATGGTGGCTGCCAGGGCCTGGGGAAGGGACAACAGGGAGTCAGTGTTTAATTGGGGACAGAGTTTTAGTTTGGAAAGATGAAAAGAGCTACGAGATGGATGAGGGTAATGGTTGCCCAACAATGTGAATGTACTTAAAGCCACTCAACTGTACACCTAAAAATAGTTAAAATGGTGAATTTTATGTACATGTTAACTACAATTAAAAATTAAATTGCCGCTTCAAATATTCCAATCAGATATTTTCCAAAAGGCTATTTAAAAGATGTTTGCCAAGAGGAAAAAAACAGCCCAGCAGTTTGGCCAGAATCAAGTCAACACTGAGGCACACCTAGCTGCCAGAGGCTGCCAACCTCTCATCACTCATTTCCTGTCAACGAGGCCAGTCCTGTGTGAAGGGACTTAGCAAAACATCCCTGTCCCCATAGCACATTTCTGAAAATGCACGGAATCTACTCAGTCTCGATGCAGGGGAATAGGTGAGAAGCGTTTTCTCTCTTTTCTACTCTCTCACCCCCCACAGGAGAACCCAACAGACACACCCTTGCTTCTTGAGGTTCCTTTCCCAGAAGAGAAAATGGAGTGATGGAGATGGGTACCTATGCCCGTGTG